AATCACTCTAATCTATCTTTAGGAGCTGCTTCTGTTGATTTGACCACCAAGGATTTGTATGATAAGATCGAATTCAAGGACGAAGATGGTGGACCCTGGACGCAGGGGTGGAGGGTTTCTTATAAAGGGGACGAATGGAACAACGAGAAATTGAAAGTATTTGTTGTACCCCATTCACATAATGATCCTGGTTGGAAGCTTACTGTTGATGAGTACTATGATCGCCAGTCTAGGCATATTCTCGACACAATTATCGAATCTCTTTCTAAGGTACGAACTAAATTTCACTGTTAACTTGTTGTTTCTATGTTCGATCTGCTAATTCTTGATCTATTTATGCGATGGAAACGTTTCGAATGGATGGATTTGCTGTGCTACTTTTAGGATGAACGGAGGAAGTTTATCTGGGAAGAGATGTCCTACCTAGAGAGATGGTGGAGGGATGCATCAGATGCTAAAAGAGAATCTTTGATCAAATTACTGCAAAATGGGCAATTAGAAATTGTTGGAGGAGGTTGGGTGATGAATGATGAGGTAATGTCGATTCAACAAGCTAAAAATCTGTTCACTCTCACTTGCTCCTATGGTTTTTTGCCTTCAAACATAAAGTAGCTAAATTTTGCCTTGATGAAAGACATGGCTACTTTCATTTTGCCTTTAGCCTTACTGAACTTCATTTTTGAATGACTCCTGCAGGCCAATTCACATTATTTTGCCATCATCGAACAGGTATCTTTTATCCCTGATTCATCTCAATATAGATTGTTTCCTGGTTAAAGCATCCATTCATGTTACATAATATCTTTTCATTTCAATTTTATCAGATGATGGAGGGAAACATGTGGTTAAATGAAACTGTTGGCATAATCCCAAAAAATGCATGGGCAATCGATCCATTCGGCTATTCATCCACCATGGCTTACCTTCTTCGGCGTATGGGCTTTGAAAACATGCTTATACAAAGAACTCATTATGAACTCAAAAAGGAACTGGCTTTACATAAAAATCTTGAATACATATGGAGACAGAATTGGGACACAGATGAAACAACCGATATTTTTGTCCACATGATGCCATTTTACTCCTATGATGTCCCACACACTTGTGGGCCCGAGCCCGCAATATGTTGCCAGTTTGACTTTGCAAGAATGCACGGGTTCATGTACGAGCGATGCCCCTGGGGGAAACATCCGGAAGAAACAACCCAAGAAAACATGAAGGAAAGAGCCCTTACACTTCTTGACCAATACAAGAAAAAGTCAACTCTCTACCGGACAAATACCCTTCTTGTCCCTCTTGGAGACGATTTCCGCTACATCAGCATCGATGAAGCAGAAGCCCAGTTTCGTAATTACCAAATGTTATTCGATTACATAAATTCAAACCCGGAGTTGAACACCGAGGCTAAATTCGGAACTTTAGACGATTACTTCCGGACTCTACGTGAAGAATCCGAAAGAATAAATTACTCACGACCCGGTGAAATCGGGTCGGGTCAGATCTCCGGGTTTCCTTCTTTATCGGGTGATTTCTTTACTTATGCTGATAGACAACAAGATTATTGGTCTGGGTATTATGTTTCACGCCCTTTTTTTAAAGCGGTTGATCGTGTTCTTGAACAAACCTTACGTGCCACTGAAATGACTATGGTGTTTCTACTAGGGTATTGTCAAAGGGCTCAATGTGAAAAATTACCTACTGGTTTTACCCATAAGTTAACAGCAGCAAGAAGAAACTTAGCTTTATTTCAACATCATGATGGGGTCACTGGAACTGCTAAAGATCATGTGGTTCAAGATTATGGTATGCGAATGCATACTTCTTTACAAGATCTTCAAATCTTCATGTCCAAAGCTATTGAGGTTCTTTTAGGGATCCATCATGATAAAAACGATCAAAACCCGTCTCGGTTCGAGCCCGCTTTGATCCGGTCCAAATACGATGCCCAATCGGTGCACCGACCGGTTAGTGCTAATCAAGGAACCGTGCAAACCGTGGTCCTTTTCAATCCGATTGAACAAACGAGAAACGAGGTTGTTATGTTTGTTGTTGAAAGACCCGATGTGACTATTTTGGACTCAAATTGGACGTGTGTGAAAAGTCAAATATCTCCTGAATTGCAGCATAATAAAGTCAAAATGTTTACTGGAAGACATAGAGTGTTTTGGAGAGCTTCGATTCCTGCCATGGGGTTACAAACGTATTACATCGCGAATGGTTTTGTCGGATGCGAGAAGGCCAAACCCGCAAAATTAAAAATTTCTTCAATTTCCGACACTACCCCTTGTCTTGCGCCTTATACTTGCTCAAAGGTGGAGGGCGATTCGGTCCAGATTCGAAACCGGCATCGATCTCTTACGTTTAATTCCAATTTTGGCTTGTTACAGAAAGTAACCGAAATGAAAGGCGCACAGAATGTTGTTAACGAAGAGTTGGCGATGTACACGAGCCCCGAGAGTGGGGCCTACCTTTTCAAACCGAACGGTGACGCCTCGCCGATTACGGAGTCCGGGGGCGAAATGGTAATTTCCGAGGGGTTTCTGGTTCAAGAAGTGTTTTCGCATCCGAAAACATCATGGACGAAATCGCCCGTGTCCCATAGCACCCGGATTTATAACTGTGAGGGGTCCGTTCAGGAACATTTGATAGAAAAAGAATACCATGTGGAGCTTCTCGGGGGTGAATTTAATGATAAAGAATTGGTTGTTAGATACAAAACAGAAATCGATAACAAAAGAATCTTTTATTCGGATTTAAACGGATTTCAAATGAGCCGTAGAGAAACATATGACAAGATTCCTATACAAGGAAATTACTACCCAATGCCCTCGCTTGCTTTCATGCAATCCGAAGGGCAGCGATTCTCCGTGCACACGAGGCAGTCATTGGGTGTGGCAAGCCCCAAAAACGGACGGTTCGAGATCATGTTAGATCGACGGTTGTTACGCGATGATGGGCGTGGACTCGGTCAAGGAGTCACCGATAACCATCCGATGAATATAATTTTCCATCTCACTTTCGAATCCAACGTTTCTGTAACACCCGATCTTATTCCAAATGCGGGTCCCGTAAGTCCGTCTCTTTTCTCACACCGTGTTGGGGCCCACTTGAACTACCCGTTGCACGCGTTCATTGCGAAGAAAGCGGAAGAAATATCGGTTCAACCTCCCCCGAGGTCTTTCTCGCCTTTGACGGCTCAGTTCCCATGTGATTTGCATGTTGTGAGTTTTAAGGTTCCACGGCCGTTAAAGTATACTCAGCAGCAGGTTCTAGAAGAACCTAGAACTGTTTTGATTTTGCAGAGGAGACATTGGGATTCATCGTATTGTTGGAAAGGGAGGTCGGATTGTTCCAGAGTGGATGATGAGATGGCAAATTTGAATCTGTTGAACATGTTTCAGGGTCTTGATGTGTTGAATGTGAAAGGTACTTCTTTGAATCTTTTGCATGATGATACGGAGATGCTTGGGTATGGTGAACAGCTGACAGATGGGCGGGTCGTCATCTCGCCCATGGAGCTCCAGGCTTATAAGTTTGATTTACGACCTCATCAGTGACCTCTTAGTTACCACTTAACTATATAATATTATGGCTTTGATCTTTGATCTTTGATGAGGCGAGACAAAAGCACAAAAGTACCCTCAAGGGTATTATTTTTTGGTGACAGTTACTAGACAATTTTAAATTGTCCAAGAAATGAAGCATTCGGGGTTGTTTCATAGTTTGAAGTTGTAGGTCGAAGAGACGATAGTGTTGTAGCAGCTTGGTTCTTTGTTTTATCTCTTTGCTTTTTTGTTTTTTTTTAATGTATTTAGGAGAACGATTGGTGTTGTTTTGTACACTTATTAACATATGACATGATAAAATCAATAATAGAAGGATTGTTTAGATGGTCCTTTGTTTGTTTGTTTGATTCGATTTAGTTATATGGTTAACCTAGGGGTGGTAGATATGGCCATCGTGTCGTGTTTTTATTTGACACGACACGATAGGGTTTTATGTAACACGACACGATGTTGTATATTTTTTTTAACTAATATGAATACGAATCAATTAAAAAGCAACAAACAAGACATGACACGACAAAGATAACATAATGTAACAATTAGTTTATTTAATTAATAATAATCACACATAACACGAAAAATAAATGCTAAATCGTGTCAATTTCGTGTCAAATTTTAAACACGATACGACATTGTGTTTTTTTACAGTTGACACAAATACAACACAAACATGAATTCTAATTTCAGTTTCGTCTCAATTTCGTTTCGTGTTGTAGGTCTATATTAACCAAATGCCGGACCTGATCACTAAATAATGATTTGGCTACTAAAAGTTATATATATATTTTTTATTTATTTATAAGTAATTGGTCAGATCATAATATAGGCTCTTTTAAAAATCAACTCGGAAACTGCAAGGGGCTGTTTGATATGCCTCTTAATGAGTTTAATTAGAGGTTGAGTTTTATTCGGTCCAATTCATATTGTTTTATACCACAATTAGAAACCTTTGATATACCTTATATCGGATCTAATTAGAGGTTGAATCTTACTTAATTATTCTTTAACTCAATCTGACCCAACTAACAGTCCTTAAGTAAATATGCTCTTTATGGGGAATGGTTTATAAAAAACCATTTCTTTTCAAACTATTGATGCAAAGCTCCATTTTATTATTTTGTTGCTCCATCATCATATATTATTTAATCATTTAATTTTCTTATAACTTAAAAGTCATTAACTCTATGTTAATTGTAATGAAAGACGAATCCATCATTTTTTAAGACTAGAAACTATATAATTGTGATAAAGTTGGTATTAAGAACTATGATAGCTTGATAAGTTAATGGCGTATGTAAATTCAGGTGCATTGTACACATCAGTATTCCACTGCTATTACATTATTGGGTTACATTACCTGGGCCTTGGACTTATTATGCCGAACCGAAAGAATAAAATTCCATTATGTTAATGGGCTTTATCGTTAAAGGCCCAATGTATTTATACTCACCCCTGAGTTTCTTGAGTGCAAAGTTTTCTTTTGGGTATTTACAGGGTTCATCGTTCTCCTTTGAAACGAAGAAGGAACAAAGGAAAAAATCAATAACCATGGAATCATCTAAGAGAATCGAACACGAGATTGGAGGTCTAAAGAATGATGCACTTCGATTTGGACTTCAAGGTGTCAAGAGTGACATCGTCGGATCCCATCCCCTCGAATCCGCCTTTCAATCGGTACATAGTCTTCATCTTGCTAGACTGTACATAATGCTATTAGGAGAAGATCTCTAATGCTTATTTTATTTTCCATTTCTTAGGCAATCGTGAGAGAAGAGGATATGAAGAGGAAAATGCTTGCAAACACCTACGGCTCCGCTTTTCCGTTAAAGCAGGAGTTCGATCGAAAAATCCTTTCTAGGTATTCACTGGTTTATTTTCAAATTTCTTTTCCTATAGCGATCTATACCAACATGCTGCTCGTGATATCTGATGCACTCTCGTCAGCTGAAATTTGAAGAAAACTAGGGTTTTACTTACTGTGGATTTTTTAGTCCGTTAGAGACCCTTAAATTAATGAATCGAGATAAATGTAAGAGGCTTAGCTCAGTGCTTTGAGCACTTGAATTCACGTTCTAACCTGTACTCATCTGTAACGATGAAGAGAATAAACTAGCCATCCCTTTTTCATCTACCTGATGCTCATACCTAGCCTGGAAGATAACTTCAAATGGCCAATATAGCAAAAAAGTTGGTTATTTTGTGTCTTGATTTTTTGGCATAGCGATATTCATAATGTTATGATGGATCTTGGTCATTCAAGGTAACTAAGGCACATGCCAAAGTTTGTTGCAGCTAGATCTTTGACCAGACAATGGATTAACCAATAATTCTGTCCAAATTGGAACTTATTTTGACCTGTTATCTTTTTAGCCTGTAAAATACATAATGTTTTTTCTTTTTCTCTTAGAAAAAGTTGGAAAATCAAGTCATCAAACCCATGGCCATTTCCTTCTTTCATTTTACAACCATCGATTCCTTGAACTTTTCTCAAAGAACCAGAGAATTAATAACATAAACAAATAGATGTGAACATAAAAGAAAATGTAGGTTGAAAAAATTTGTCATGGCATAGCTTTCGTCTTTTTGATGCTGGTTTTGGTTCTGGTCTGTAGATTTCTGATATTTTTATTTTCTTTTATTTAAGTTTCATACTTTGTTCCCTTATTGTTTGCTGGACTGACTTTTGTGGAATCTTTTTTTTTAATGATTTGAGTGTGTGTTTGCAAGAAGTATATATGTTTTTCATGAAATATTACTTTTTTCTTATAGTGTTTTGTGGTTCCAGATTTCAAAGGCCTCCTGGACTTATACCATCCTCCATGCTTGGATTAGAGTCAATTACAGGAACTTTGGAAGATTTTGGTGTTGAAGATTACCTCCAAGGTAACTAACTAACTACTTGATTTACTGATTTGAGTAATTTTGCTGTGAAAATGGTATTAAGGTTTGTGTTGATGATTTTTGTAAAGGTGTTCATGATACTGAGACAATGCGGGTCCCGGACATGCATCATGGAATGGAAGTTCGTGTTGGGATCTCAAAGGGACCAGTTCATCCCAGTTTCATGTGAGGGGAGGTGTACTACTTTCTTTACTTGAGAGTATCTATATAATTTTCAGATGTTGTGTTGCAGACATTTGTGGTTTGACTTTAAATATCAACTTAAATTTGCATATTTTCGTTTCTTTAGATGTATTTGAACATGTTTTTACTTGCTTATTATTATTGTCATGTGTTTTCTTTTGCAAATTAGTAGTATTACATGCAAGATAGAATCTGGGTGTGGGTGGATATGGGTTTATTTATATAGGCGACTTGGGTTGTGATTATTTACAACATTTGATGTTGCTAATTTTTGAGAATTTGAAGATATCGTGTCTAACAAGTCGTGATTTATAAGACTTGTAATGTTTAGAGTTCGAAATTTTGTTGGCAACTGACGTGGGATACTAAGGAAATTGTCAAGACTGAAATGTACTTTTTAATTTTCTTTTTTAATATGCCGTTGTATTCTATCTTTTTTTTTTTTTTTCTAGTTATTGAATTGAACTTTTAAAATTATTTTATACATAACTGTACTTTGAAAAATATACATATTATAGCAATAAGAGCATCCACAATGCATTGTTTAAAATGTATTAAACTCAGGACATCCAAAATAAGGTGAGTTAAATCAGAGTGACGTATCATTTTGTTTAAAATTTGATATTATATTGTCTAAAGTATAAAATACCTAAAAATGCATCATTAAGAATTACGATCCTAAAAGAAATGATATTGGAAATTATATTTGGGCGGTGGAGTGGTAGGTATTTTCTTAGGGTAACTGATGTTGATGTTTTCTTTAGATGATAAAACTTTTTGTGTTATAGTGTTATGGAATAATGAAGTGATAGGTTCAACCAACTTTTCAAAATATGACCATGAAGTATGAACACCCAAAATATTAATTGTCACAAAAATATATACCGGTTCGTTTCATTTCTGGAACTAAATGGCAATTCATAATGGTTAGTCGCCATTTAAATCTTACTTTTATGTCATTTAAGTTCGGGTATTTTCCTGAATCAAACCACTATTGTACTCTATACTTTTGTTCAATATTCATTTCTTACTTTTGGTATTTTTGGTATTTGTTACTTTCGGTTCAGTTCTGCTACTGATCTCACCTCTAGTCGAAGCTGCTTCAACAGCCCGTAAGAAAGTTGTTGCCAAGAGGCTTCTATTGACTTTTCAAAATTGCTTCCAAAAACGGTTATAATTTCCATATAAGGCTAAATGGTATCATACAAACAACACCCGTGGTAAGTTGAGGTGGATGCCTCTACCGGCAGTGAACACCAACCTATGGTACTGAATTTACCAACGTTATATTAATGCTGATAGAAACCCACCAATCACTTTACTGATGGTGATGAGGGATGATGTGCATGATAAGCTTGTACAACAAACGTCACATTAAATATGTCACATGGATTTTGTTTTTTTTAATTAAAAAAAGTTGGTAGGTGTCACACCCTCGAACCACGACGACAGAAATGTCCGGGGACGGATGACGTCATCGTATGGTATCATAACAGTTGAATATAAATGAATCATAGCGATCCAAACATCATACATTAAGAATACAAGTTTACATTGTTTTTTTACACACTGTGTTTGTTCAAAAATAAACATCAAATAACTGAAATGTAGAAATCCAAGATTTTGCAACTCCTGTTCTCAAAAGATTTGGATACCTGTTTCCTGGTTCCCTAAGTATACAAGTGATTTTGAAAAGTGTTAACAGTTAAGTTGGTGAGTTTATAAGTATTTTTGAATGAAAAGGGTTTGTAATCATTTTGCTTAAAATGGTTTTGTATACTTCAAGAAAAACCGACATTTTCTATAAAAATAGGTTCTACGTCTTATATCCAAGACTAAAAATGTAGGTAACTCTTTTGTATCTTTTCCTTGTAAATATGATAATGTATGTTTTCCAGAAAATCCAATATTTTCTTATATGTGAATTGTAGTCTTAAACCCTAAGACCAGAAATGTAAACAATAGCGTACTGAAAGGTAGTATGGAGTTATATATATATATATATATATATATATATATATATATATATATATATATAACTCATGAAGTGAAAGTTTCCCGTAAACCAAGTAGTATTGTTAATCTCTATGTGAGTTATTATAATCATGCTTAATATGACCGATATGCCTAAACGACATTCTTCAGGCGTTGGAATTGGTATCTGTCACCCTAGACTTGTCGGTCTAACTATAGCGAACATCTGAAGTGTGGGGTTGTCAATCCCGTATAGATCTATACACAACTATCTCGCTCTCCCTCTAGAAGACTCTGGTTATAATGCAGGACTTAAAATGTACGCTAGGTAGGTACGGTGAAGAGAATGTCTCACTAGAGCATTAACAGATTTACGTGAACTACGACTCTTTTTTTCTTGTATAATGAAATAATTATACTATTGAAAAATTATGAAAGTGTGGTTTTGTGTCTCCCAAACTATACCATTTATAGTTTATCTTGTATGTATTGTTGAGTCTATTTATATAAACTTTGTATAAATATCAAGTTGTAGTCCTGTCTTGTGTGGATATATGTTACCAAAACATAATATTTTGGGGTTGAACCCACCAAAACCGTAAATAACTAAAATATAACCATTTTTATTTTGCCAGAAAAACTATTTTTAGTTAAAATTACCAAAAACCTTGTTGTTTCACATCTCATATTTTTCCCATTGATATTTGTATCATATAATGAGTGATGTGTTTATCAACTTGCATATTAAACATTTTATGTCACAATTTTTTTTGTGTAAAAGTGGTGATAGCTACATCTCATGAAAATATTATTTCTTATTCAAATAATAAGGATGAAACATGCAAATATCCATAAGACAAACTATTTTTGACTTATACCCCCCCCCCCCAAGCATGAAAAACTCAAAAAATTGGGGTATGAAGCTCACCTTGAGTTGATTTTGTGGATGATTTGAAGGAAGAAGACAAGGATTTTGAGCCTAGCTCCTTTAGTAAAGTTGGTGAGCTTCTTGGAGGTGTGATTATCCTAAGAATTTAACACAAGATAAGGTGTGTAAAAGGGATGAATCTATCATAAAGACGTGTATAATCATTAGATGAACAACAATCACTTACCAAAAACCTCTAAAACCTACTTGAAAATGAAGATCTTGGAGAAATTTGAGGTTGTTCTAGAGAAAGTTTTGAAGAAAAGTGAAGGTGGTGAGAGGAAAAGGCCCTCTCGGCCGCAAGTGAGGGAAAAAGGTGAGGCTTTTCTTGATACATGTTGGTTACTTATGTGTCTTGTATGGAGACATGGTGTATATTGGTATGTATGGTATGGAAGTTCGGTGGTCAAAGAGAGGTAAAAAGGAGATGTCACTCATAAAGTCAATACCTTGGGTGTTACACCCAAACCGAATTCACTTAGTTAAGGGGGAGTTTTCGGTTTTTTCTTTGCATGGGGGAGGGATTTTCGGTTTCTATGCCTTGCATGGGAGGGTTTTCGGCCTTATTGGGCTTATTTATGGAGTTTTCGGCATAGGTGTCACCAACTAAAGGGTTTTTGGTTCTAGAGTGGTCCTAACTTAGTGATTTCAGTCTTGGGGTGTGCCCATGAAGGTGTTTTTGGTCCTTTGTAATAGAAATCACAAGGATTGTGGTCGTACAAATCAAAAGTTCTAAGTCAGGGCACAAATACATGCTTTCATGTTAACACCATTTGATTCTTGTTTGATTTGCATTAGCTCTTCAAGAGCTATTTCAACATGGATTTTCAAGTGTATGTTATCTTAAATCATACAATGGTGTCCTCCTAGCTTTCAATAAATATTATTACATCAAAGTTACATAGTGAATTTATTTGCACATGGTTACATTGTAGGCTTTACTCGACCTAAGCTTGCTAGTTGTCACATCATCCCCCCGTTAGAGGGAATTTCGTCTTGAAATTAGTTTAGAGTAGGCACTCAAGTTATAGGGAAGAGATGTGGATACTTCTGCTTCATTTGATCTTCGCGTTCCCAGGTGAACTTAGGTCCTCGTTTGGCGCTCCATCGGACCTTTACAATGGGAATGCGACTTTGCTTTGCCCTCTTGACTTCTCTATCCATTACCTCTACACGTTCCTCGATGAAGTGGAGGTTCTCGTTTATTTCAATCTCGTTAAGTGAGACTACTAGGGTCTCATCAGGAAAGCATTTCTTTAGGTTGGACACATGGAAGACAGGATGTACATTGCTGAGCTCTTGTGGTAACTGTAGCTTGTAAGCCACTAGAACGATATTGGCAAGGATCTCGAACGGTCTGATGTACCTTGTATTCAGTTTCCCACGCTTTCCAAAGTGTATCATCCCTTTCTAAGGAGAGACCTTCAACAACACGTGGTCGCCGACTTGAAATTCCAAGGGCTTTCTTCGTTTATCCGTGTAGTTCTTTTGTCGGTCTCTGGACGCCTTTAGTCGTTCCCTAATTTGGACGATCTTCTCAGTTGTCTCCAGGATGATTTCGGGGCCGGTGAGAGTGTTGCCAGGTACTTGCCCTTTTTCTAGCTGTGTGTCTCCCACCTCAGCCCAACACATAGGAGACCGACATTTGCGTCCATATAGAGCCTCAAATGGAGCGACCTTGATGCTAGTGTGATAACTGTTATTGTATGAGAACTCAATGAGTGGAAAATGGGTATCCCAAGCCTTGCCAAAGTCTATCACACAAGCTCTTAACATATCCTCTAATGTCTAGATATTCCTCTCACTTTGCCCGTCTGTTTGAGGATGGTAAGTTGTACTCATATCGAGCTTGGTTCCCAAGGACTTCTGAAGTGACTGCTAAAACCGTGAGGTAAATCTACTATCTCTGTCGCAGATAAATAGATATTGGCACGCCGTGTAATCTCACGATTTCTTTTATGTATGTCATGGTTAGCTTTTCTATTTTGTCAGTCTCCTTTATTGGCATAAAGTAGACGGATTTGGTTAACCTGTCAACAATCACCCAAATGGTTTCAAGTCCACCCGTTGTCTTGGGAAACTTGGTTATGAAGTCCATGGTTATTCGCTCCCACTTCCACTCGGGTATGTCTGGTTGTTATAGTAGACCCGAGGGCTTCTAGTACTCTACCTTGACCTTGGCACAAGTCAGACACTTGCTTATGTAGGTAGCGATTTCGGCTTTCATGTTTAGCCACCAATAAAGTTTCATGAGATCTAGGTACATTTTGTCCAAACCTTGATGGATGGAGTCCTTTGTTTTGTGGGCTTCGTTCATGACAACGTCTCTGTACGCACCGAACTTTGGTGTCCAGATTTGATCCATGAGGTAGTAGGCTCCATTGTATTTGACTGTAAGGTTCTTATCCATCGCTCACAAGGCTTCGTTGGCGATATTCTCTGGTTTAAAGGCTTCCAGCTGAGCCTCTTTGATTTGCGAAGACATGTGGGAATGGATGGTCATTGTTAGTGATTTTACTCGGCAAACCAAGTGTTCTTTTCGGCTAAGAGCATCTGCTACCACTTTGGCTTTGCCCGGATGGTATTGGATCTAGCACCCGTAGTCGTTCAGTATTTCTACCCATCATCGCTGCCTCATGTTGATCTCTTTCTCGTTTAGAATGTCCTGGAGGATTTTGTGATCCATGAAAATGGTGCACTTTGTACCTTAAAGGTAGTGCCTCCAAATCTTTAGTGAAAACATGATTGCTCCCAACTCAAGGTCATGTGTGGTGTAGTTCAGCTCATGGGTCTTTAGTTGTCTTGACGCGTAGACTATGACCTTACATCGCTGCATGAGTACTCAACCTAATCCTTGGTTAGATGCATCACAATACACCATGAAGTCTTCTATCTCTTTCGGGAGAGACAGGACTTGGGCGCTGCATATAGCTTGTTTCATGGTTTGGAAAGAAGTCTCCTGTTTCCTCTCCCAGATGAAGGTTACACCATTCCGTGTTAGGGCGGTGAGAGGCTTAGCGATTTTGGAGAAATTATGTATGAACCTCTTGTAGGAAATCCACTCTGCGGATCCAGAATTTGGCAGGGTGCACGTGTATTCCCTCTTCGCTGACCATGTGCCCTAGGAAATCCACTCTGCGGATCCAGAATTTTCATTTGGAGAACTTAACACACAGCTTCTCTACCCTTAATGTTTCCAAGACTTGTCACAGGTGTTGTCTGTGCTCTTCTTCACTTCATGAGTAGACTAGTATGTCATCGATGAATACTATCATGAATTGGTCTGGATAAGGTCGGCACACCCGGTTCATCAAGTCCATGAATGATGCAAGCACATATGTTAGACCGAAGGGCATTACTACGAATTCATAATGACCGTAGCGAGTTCGGAATGCGGTTTTGGGGATATCTTCCTCCCGGACCTATAGTTGGTGTTACCCGGATCTTAGATCTATATTTGAAAAGTAACTTGACCCTTGTAGCTGGTCGAATAGGTCATCAATCCGGGGAAGAGGGTATCAGTTTTTTACGGTGAGTTTGTTCAGGTCTCGGTAATCGATGCACATGTGGAACGATCCGTCCTTCTTCTTTACGAATAAGACCGGAGCTCCCTAGGGTGAGAAGTTTGGCCTTATGAACCCCTTGTTTAGTAATTCACTTAGTTGGCTAGAAAGTTCTTGCATCTCCACTGGAGCTAGTCTGTATGGTGACTTGGCGATTGGGGTTGCTCCAGGTATCAAGTCGTTCTAAATTCGACTTGTCTTTCGGGGGTACTCCCGGGAGGTCTTCGGGAAATACGTCGGGGAAGTTACATACCTCCGGGATGTCCTTAATGTTCCTTTCTTCCTTCTTCTTATCGACGATGTGGGCTAAGAAGGCTTGATTCTTCTTATGCAAACACTTATGTGCCTTGATACATGAGATGATGTAGAGGTTTGTGCCTTGTTCACATATTGGATAAATAAAATAATACAAATGAGAATTTAAATCGTGGAAATTGACTTGGGAGGGTAATTAACTCTTATCCGTGTTCACATATTGGCAACTTCTTCTTTTTTGTTCCTAAAAAAGCAACTAACTTGTTTTACCTGTTTAAATTACATAAATATTACCGGCTAATACATGTTTCAACTGATGTAGCTAAATCAAGGCTTGGGTGGCATACACAAGATAATATGTGGCATAGTACACATCACCTCATTATATGAACAGTGTTATATGGTTTGTTTGTACGTTAAAGCCCTAGATCGAAAATATCGACAATGGCTTCTTCTTCTGCTCCATCTGCCTCTTCCAAACACAATGTCGAAATGCAAGCTGATCATCCATGTAAGTGCAACATGCCATTGCGTGTGAAGATTTCAAGAACACCCGACAATTCCGGAAAAAAAAAATTCGAGTTTGTCAAAAGTCTTTGGTAAATATGTTTTTTAATCATCCCTAACTAAATCTTCTTCTTCATCTTCTCTTTAATTGAACTTTTTTATCCTTTCCTTAAGAGTGCAAAACTCCAAAATTTAATTTCTGGGAATAGCTGTAAGAGGATGAGTATGAAGTAGAGAAGAATAGTGATTTGGGATAAATCTACAACCTAACATTGAAGCTTGGAAATTTGGAAAACAAAATTAGTATATGCAAGAAAAAGTTGGAAAATAGAAGAATTGTGATTTGGTTTTCAGACAAGAACTGGACAAAGTCAAGTGGAAGTTGTTTACTCATAAAGTTGCTTTATGTTATTTTTCTTGTATGTTAAAGATGTAGTTTGTAAAGTTTGATGTGTTCTTTGTATCCTGTTTGATGTATTTTGACTGAATCATGTACTTCATGAAGTTTTGTATGCAATGAAAGTTGAACGTATTATGACTAAATCATGTGTTTAAGTTAAATACAAGGAACAAAAAATGGCATTATAAAGACAAGGAACACAAATGGCATTATAAACATCACAAATGACATTACCAAAATGTATACAAACATCCAAGTAAACATGTACTTAAATAAAGATGTTAAACATCACAAAAGCCATTACAACACACATGCTAAAGCACCTTATAATACAAAAGATTCCCAAAATACATCAGAAAACATGCATTACAAAAGATTCCCAAAATACAAGACCCAATATGTTAAAGTATCGAACATTCCAAAAGATGTGTCAAGTTTGTCCCATTGTGCCAAAAGCTATTACAAGACCTAAGATTCCACAACATGCATACCAAAACTTGTGCAAAAATATAAACAAGACATTAAATTCAAATTTCTAGTGGGTGTTCATTACTTCTTCCCTCTTTCCTCCCTATGTTATTCCCTAGCATAATCTTTGTAATTCTTTCTGAAGCTTTTCTTGTCCTCTTCCTAACTTGAATTTCTGCATTGTCTTGAATTTCTTGTTCCACATTATCTTGAACTTGTTCTTAAATGTTAACTTGAATTTCATGTTCCACTTCATCTTGAATCTCTTCTTCGATGTTATCTTGAACTAATGGAACTTCAATGTTAGCATCCATTTCGGGCACTTCAATGTTAGCTGCCACATCAACTTCAGGAACTTCAATGTTAGCATCCACATCAACTTCAGGAACTTCAATGTTAACCTCCATTTTAGGTACCAAACCACTTAGAGCTTCCACTTCAATGTTAGCCTCCACACTACTTTCATATTCAAAGTCACTATCACTTTCACTTTCAAACATAATTGCATGTTCCACTTCCAATTCAGCTTCAAGGTCTACTTTAACATCAACTTTTCCTGTAAGAGGGAAAAAGTTCAGAAATGGAACACAAGTGTAATATATTAGATAAGTTAACACCATACCTTGTTTCTTAGGTTTCTTTTTTTTTAAGGACATGTTGATCTTTTATGACCTCTTTCCCTAAAAATGGTACATCTCACGACCATTCCCTTTTTTGAGACGATATGCCTTATTCTCTTAACTTCTCTGTCAACCTAATCCCTTTTCTTTTTCATTATTGGTCTTCTAGGTAGCCTTCTTTTTTTAGGGGGCAATGGTTTGGTGTAATCCACTTCAGGCCACATAGCACTACAATTTAGTGGCCTAATGTTATACCTATAACAACTTGCATACATTGATGTAGTAAACCATTCTGATACATAGTCCTCAGGGTCCCTATTGAGGCTTGAAATGGCAGCATATCCATGCACACAAGGATACCCTGCTTACTGTCATGCCCTGCATCCATGTTGTCTGGTATTAAGGTCTACAACATATCCATCAGTCCCTACCCTCACCTCAAATTGCATATAACCAGAAGGTACCACTTGCCAAAACCTATCCATAATCATATACAAATTAGAAAATATTAAAAATGTCTAACATATAAGCAACTAGGTATAAGACCTATGTATTACATGGGCTCATTTAAAAAAAAAGTAAGAAAATTCTAAACATTTGAAAAAGTTTGAATTTATAAGAAAATTTAGAAAAATAATGAATTGAAAAAATTAATGTGTTTTTTTTTCTCTTTTAAATCTAAACAAATAATTTAAATAAATAAACAAAGAAAACTAATGAAGTTTTAATTTAGAAATGTTGAAAGTAGAAGGAAAGTCAATTATTAAAATTGATATCTATTTATTATTACATTTATTGCAATTATTATATTTAAATAATATGTGGAATTTAATAAAATGGAAAAAACCACAAAATGCCATGTGGAAAAAATTTAATTGAAAATAACTACAAAATGACATGTGGCCAAATCAATAAGAGTGTGACATGTGGCAAAAAAGTTCTTTATTTATTAGGGAGGATAACAATTTACCTTTGTTATTCTTGAGCTTGTTCACCTTCAACATTATGGAATGACATATGTTTACATCCCAAGATTGACCCTTGGTCTTGTAGATACACAACCTTTCCATTACATAAATCTGGATTTCTTCTAACATGGTAATGAGTGGTTTCTTCCTAGCAACTTCAATCACCGAGTTAAAACTTCCAGAAACGCCATTTTCATATGCATCACAACTCATGTCAACCTGAAAAAATGCTTTACACCAGGTTTTAGGGTCCCTTTCCATCAAAATTTCATAAGCTAGTGGTTCCAGCTTCTTGATTTCATTCATATGGTACTCAAATTTTTATGGAATTGTAGATCTAGCAGCTCTCCAAAACAACTTCCTAAATATTTTCCCCTTAAATATTTTCTGGAAATTAGCATAGATGTGCCTAGCACATTGCCTATGCTCTGCATCTGGAACCCTTTCCTTCACAGCTTCAATTAATCCCTATAATCAATACATACAAAGCATAAGCTAAAACATATTAAGTATGGAAAATAACAATAAGTGAAGTTTGAACATTACTTTGTGTTGGTCTGATATTATGGTTAGTCCATGACCAACTCCCATTCCAATGTCATCAATCAGAAGATCAAGAAACCACTTCCATGTTTCTTTATTTTCCACTGTAACCAGATCCCATGCGATATGATATATGTGGTTGTTTGCATCCCTCCCAATGGCTACAAGCAACTGACCTCTGTATATGCACGTTAAGAAACAACTATCTACTCCAATTACCCTCCTACATCCCTCTATCCACCCATCCTTCAAACCCTTTAAACACATTTAAAACTTTTAGAAGTATGTTTCTCCATCATGCATCACATCCACCTATATCTTTAACTGTTGATCCAGGATTTGTCCTTTTTAGCTCTTCTCCATAGCTCCATGTTTTGGCATAATGCTCTATTAAAGTACCTTCTATCTGCTGAAATGCATATTTCCTAGCATTTCTGAATTGTCCGACACTTGCTATCAACTTAAACCTTTTACTGACCTTAGCTTTCAATTTCCTAATGCTTATCTTTGGTTTCTGTAATATCTCATTCATGAAATGAGTTCCAATCCATTTATAGCTTACAATGGACCCAAATTTGAATACTCTTGAACAACTATGCATATCAATTAAGGACTTAATCTAAAAAGGCCTATTATTCTTCATCCAGGTTGCCCACAACCTAAAAGGAAAACTCTTATTCTTCTTATGTTTAGAACATTTTGCCAACAACTTTTGATGATCCTTTTTTTCATACCATAAATCATACCTATTCTTGACGACATAGTTAGTTAGACATAGCTTCAATTCAAGAGGGTTGGAAAACTTCATACCTAAAACTGGGACCATTTTATCCCATTCTTGATTCTTATCAAAGACAGGGAAAACAACCTTATCATTTTTATCATTGACTTCATCATCATCATCATTTACTTCTTCTTGATTACTATTAAGAATGGGTTTACCACACAACTTGTTTAAAATTCATCATCAACTGTTTTGTCAAAAGTATGCACCTCTTCATCAGGTTCGTGCTCACATTCCATTATATCTGAAATATGTGAGTCTATATCATCATCTTCTATCAACTCAGACACTTCATCACCTGTTAACATCTCCTTATCGGCTCAATCAAGAATAGGTTCGTTTTGGTGGTCAATGTAGACATTCATTCTTAGCTCGTTCTTAGCCATGTAACCATCATCAATAAACTCAAAATAATCAGCATCATTGTCGATTATTCTAATACCCTCTGCCAATCTTTCATGAGTACTACAATAGTACAAATTATCACAACTTCATCTTGTCACCTTTTAAACCCACAACATAAATTATCTATAGTTCATGCCACCAAAATCCACATCATAAACTGACATTCTCATAGGACCTAAGTACACTAACGGGTTTGGTGCAAACATTTCGTTGTAGTGAAAATTTACAGTGACATACGTACCGTTAGGTGATTCCATTGTAGTGTCTATACAGTTGACGCTTTCAACTCCCAACTTCATTGTTCCTCCTACTGCTTCGATCGAGTGATTTCTGAGAAAAAATAATTAATTAGGAACGATTTGGGAGTATTTGTCAAAACCCTAATTAAATGAAGTCGATTCACCCTGATTAAATGATGTCGAATCCGGGCAAAGGGTGTAATAGACACGTCATATCCCACACAATTTCTTTTAATGAGTTAATTTGATTTATCGGTTAAAACATATATTAATCGGTAATATTAGTGTAATTTAAATAGATAAAACAATTTGGTTGATTTTATATATTCAAAAAAAAAAAAGTTGTCAATATGTGAACAATAATAAGAGGTAGTTACCCTTTTAAATCATTTTCCCTTTCAATTGCATTCCAAAGAAAATCCATGAAATCAGCATGTCTTTGAAAAGAAACAAAGTTAGAAATTAGTGAATAATAGAAATCAAATGTAAGAAAGATTAGATGCTATAAATGAATATTTAAAAACGTATATAAAAACATCATGATATTAGACTTTATTTGTAGAGCATTATACATTACAATAATAACTATTATTGTTATTATTATAAATTTTGCTATTGATTATTTTTAATTTTATCTAATATTCAACTTTCCAATAAATGTTCAACGTATGGAAAGTAAATATTTTATGAAACCCAATAAAAAAATGTTCAATTATTGGGTCATGCCGTCATGGTTTTGTAAATCTATTGCATGGTGATGCGGATCGTCCTTTTTTCTTTTTTTCTTTTTTTTTGTGTTTTTTTGTTTTATTCAACAAATATAAACATGGTCAACATTGTGTCACACAAGCGGATGCTCTAATCATATACTCATCTCTGTATATAATAAGCCTCAAATGACCTTTTTATATAACCCACAACTTTCACACCCACACACACATACGAAAATGGAAACAGGATTCGAGAAATTTGAAAGCAAGCCACATGTGGCGTTGATACCATTTCCAGCACAAAGCCACATCAAGTGTATGCTGAAACTAGCAAGGTTACTACACCACAAGGGCCTGCAAATAACCTTCGTCAACACTGTGTATAACCACAACCGATTCCTCAAGTCCGGAGGACCCGACTGTCTCGAGGGTGCACCAGGGTTCCAGTTCGAAACCATTCCCGATGGTCTTCTTTATGATCACAGCAACGTCGATGCAACTCAAGACATGAGTCAACTCTGCAACTCTCTTCGAACCAACTGCTTATCTCCCTTTCTTGACCTTGTCGCCAGGCTAGAGAACCCAGTTACCTGTATTATAGGTGATGGGTTCATGCCTTTCACTGTTGAGGCTGCTGAGAAGCTTAGAGTACCAATCTTTCATTTCTGGACTGTTGCTGCGAGTGCTTTCATGGGGTTTTACCAAGGTCCACATCTTGTTGAAAATGAAGTTATCCCACTTAAAGGTTTGTTTCTTTACTCTCTCTCTATGACTCTATTTCCCAAGAAAATTTCTTTTTCGATATGATGCTGTCTGGAAATTAAATGTCGAACGAAAACAATAATATTTTAAATTTGTGTTTCAAATTTAATATTTTCTTTTATACTTTTATGCGTTTGGATCCATTAATATAATAGTATAACTGTTAATATATATCAAACATAAAACATAGAGCAATGATACATTTTAAATAAAATATGTCATTGTAATGGTCTTGGTAAAACTTGTAAGACTTAGATCTATGTGAATAATCAAAGATAAATTTAAAAACTTGAATTATAGTATTAATATATCTATACAATTTTGTTGAATACTCATTTTGTTGAGATCGAGTACGGTAATATAATATAACCATGAAATAATCTGGATCCTTTTTTTCTTTTTGAAAAAATATTATTGTTCATTATCATTATTACTCATTTGCTCTTATTTTAGATGAAAGTTGCTACACCGATGGGTATCTCGACACAGTAACAGATTGGATTCCAGGAATGGAAGCTTTCACTTTGAAGGATCTTCCTGGTTATGTTCGAACCATAGACCCAAATGACGCAGGCTATAATTATGTTTTGGAGTCTGTCAAGGCAACTAGGAAGGTTTCACGTATAATCCTCCATACATTCGATGAATTAGAGTCCACTGTCATCCAAGCCCTAAAACCCATGTATCCATACGTCTACACAATCGGACCATTGCAGTTACATCTAAATCAGATAACCAATTCGGAAGAAACAAACAAGTTGGATATCAATGGCTCCAGTCTATGGAAGGAAGAAACCGAATGCCTGGAATGGTTGCAGTTGAAGGAACCAAATTCTGTGGTTTACGTCAATTTTGGAAGCATAACAGTCATGTCTTTACAAGAGTTGCTAGAGTTTGGTTGGGGACTTGCGAATAGCAATTATTCTTTTCTTTGGATCATCAGGCCTGATTTGGTTATTGGGGAGTCTGCTATCTTGCCTCAAGAATTCAAAGAGGTGATTAAAAAGAGAGGTTTTATAGCAAGTTGGTGTTCACAGGAAAAGGTGTTGAACCACCCTTCGGTTGGTGGGTTTTTGACTCATTGTGGTTGGGGTTCGACCATTGAGAGCTTATCAGCTGGGGTTCCCATGATATGTTGGCCTTTTTATGCAGATCAATTCACTAACAGTAGGCAAATGTGCAAGGAATGGGACCTTGGCATTGAGATTGGGAGTAATGTGAATAGGGATGAAGTCGAGAAGCGTGTGAGGGAATTGATGGGAGGAGTTGAGGGTAAACGAGTGAGGAACAAGGCTGAGGAATGGAAGAGAATTGCAGAGATTGCAACAAGTCCAAAGGGCTCATCTTCTTTGAATGTTGAGAAACTTGCCACTGACATTAATATGTTTTCAAGAAACTAGTTATGGTTTCATATGTTTTTGGTGGTTTTAAGTGGTTTGGTTTTCAGTTTTTTGCTTATCCCTAGTTACTAGATCCTAAAAATTAATAAATGGAGCCTATATTCTAGGTCTAGAATTAGATACCCATTCTCAATGTTCATATGTATATAAATGTTATGTTATGATAAGATATTCAAAAAAAAAAAAAAAAAAAAAAAAAGTCGGGGATAGCAAAACACTTCCTTTATTGATTTAATCTAGCTCAAACATAACCACAACACAAAAAATTAACTAAGTTAATGTTATATTGTAGCTTTCTTGTACTTTTGATAGTAGTCTATGCTAAACATTAAAGAGTGACAAAAAGCACGCCCCAAAACAGGTACATAAGATGGGTTTTTGAGCACCACAAAGACTACAGGAAACATTATACGCCCTTGATATTAAGGCAATAAACGGCATGCAGTAATTAATTCCAAAATCCAAATATGTTCAACAATATGAGATCGAGATTCATGAGCAATGTCCTAATTTGCAGCTAATGTTTGGAATCTAATACCCATTTTATCAGGTCAACAATGACTTTATGTCCCTAAAATGCCAAAAAAATAACATCAATGACCTTTTAAACCAAAATAAAATATCTCATAGTGCGTCACTGATATTATCTCTATTAAATACTCTAATTCACTATTTGGGGCATTGGGGATTGTGTATATTAATAGTTGAAAGTTGTTTATTAAATACTCTTATCTACCGGACCGATGTCACCAACAAGTCGTAATGGCGTGTCGGTTTGGTGATGTGAATTTGTTTCTCAATTTGCATTTAACCCCTATATTTACGTATGAGTTTGCGTTTAGCTCTAATATATTTTTTTGTTCTCCATTTGCCGTTGTTTTTTAGAAAATTTTCATTTTAGCCCTTGGTCAATCATAAATAGATATTTTAGAACGTAATAGCTTAAAATGAAAAAGGAAGAGGCACCGAAGATAAGAGTTAATCTATTTGTAAGTCATCTTTTTTGTATCACCGATGTTTGAGCCAATTAAAATTGTTAATTTATTTGTAATTCATCGAAAAAACAACTGATTATTTCTAATAATAAATTTGTTGAGAAACTACAGAAATGAGATATCAATACTAGAGTTTTAGTATTAAATGTTCTTTTTTCCCTTATTGTAGCTTTATACTTTCATATTTTGTTATTACAACATGTACTTTCAAATTAATTTCTATTAAAACATTCTACACTTATTATAACAATAGGTAACATGTTGATTTGAATTATGATGACTTGAAACTACTTAATAGATTTTTATGTGATAACAAAGAGAGCTCTTGGCTCACCGGCTAACAATTCACACCCCTCAAGGAGAAGGCTAACCTTTGATGTCTCTCTTTCTTTCTGGTTTCAAGACCTCACACAAAGAAACATGAGATAATTGTCTCGTGTTGCTTCCTAAATGATAAAATATCATCCCCGTCGGCCCATGTTACTTCTTTCAATTGAGTGTTGCACAACGTCAAACATTAAGATTAAACAATTGCCAACATAGCAGCCATATGGTATGATAACTGGCTATAGACTTCAAAACCTGCTAAATGACATATATATGAAAAGAAAATCGAAAAAACATTCGGTTTTAATGCACCTAAAAGTGAACTTAAGGGTATTAACGTAGCATTCTTTTTTATCTTAATGTTATTGTTCATTACTTTATAAGTTTTTGTATATTACATATGCTTAAAAATAACAAATTAGATTGGGTATAAAATATTTATGCACCAAAACCAAAAACTATGCATTAGATCAAAATGCTTTTACAAATTAGGAAAACTTCCAAAAAAATCTTAATATTTCATACTAATTTATGAAGAAGTCTCAAAATAAAATTTGTTTACGAAAAAATCTTAATTACCGGTAAAAATTACGATTTGACCCCCTTTTTTTTCTGGTGTATCGGTTTCAGTACTCACCCGGTTTCATTAAAGTCACATTACTTTACCATAATTTCATTAAAATCCTATTATTTTCCCATAATTTGGAACTTATTCGTAAATTATGGTAAAATGATGAGACTTTAATAAAACCAGGTAATTAATGAAAACAGTAAACTGAAGAAAAAAAAACGGATCAAATCGTCACTTTTACCGGTAATTGAGACTTTTTCGTAAACAAATTTTAGTTAGAGACTTTTTCGTAGATTAAGGTAAAATATTGAGACTTTTCCGAAGATTTCACTACAAATTAATCTGGCTATTTTTGTGAATGTTATCCGAAACAGAAAAACACATGCTATTATTTGCTAGAAAAATAATAGCATGATCCACTGCCCTTTTCATTCTATTCCACTATAGCTTCAATCTGTACAACTGAATGACGGGTTAAGAGGTACAAGCATAACCACAACACAAGAAATCAACCAAAACCCATGTAGTAGTTTTCTTAGTGTTCTAAGAGTATCTATGCTACACATTACTAGAGGGACAAAAAACACCTGCCACATAACACAACAGGTACACAAGATGGAGGTTATAATAAGACATTACTGGACCCCTGATGTAAAAGGCAGTAAACGGCATGCAGCAACTGATTCCAAAATCCAAATATGTTGGATAATCTGAGACCGAGATTCTTGAGCAATGTCCTCAGCTGTAGCTAATCTTTGGAATCTTATAGAATCTTCATCGTCAAACTCAGAGTGATCTGAAAGGTCAGCATTGTAAACAACCAAAGATACCTGTTTCACATCTTCATCTGCATCTGCATCTGCATCACTACTTGATGACAGTAATTGATCCCTGGCCTCGATAATTGTGCCTCCAGCAGTTGTAACCAACTCCTTGAGATCAGTCTTGTGAGCTTCTACATAATCCCCAACAAAGTAAAATTCCAAATTGTTGAAAAGTTTTGGACCCTGCAACAAAGATATCATAATCAGCTCCTTACACTGCAAATTTTAAACAAGTGATCATTCATCAAAGATGAAAGATTTACTAGATATTCAACTACATTTGACAGCTTATCTACTATGTCTACGCCCTGCCCAGCAAAATACCTAAAAGTCCCTTGAATTCTGACTTAGCTTTAGAAGGCGTTTTAGGATTTATTTTACCACTCCTTCCCCACTTTCTTTCTCATGAAAAGGCAGCCACACCACCACCATTTTTGCAATTTTGGAGCTCAAAACCATCATTTTTTTTGCAAAATCTTTCAAACACCAAAATCACCCACATTTTCAAGGATACAAACAAAAATACCACAGTTGGGGTTGATTTTAAATTGAAGAAAACTTAGGATTTCAACTTTTTGAAGGTTTCTTTTAAATCTTGCATTTTCTTATTTATATCTATCATCTACACCCGAAAAGAGGTAAAAGAAAACGGAGACGATTACCGCAAAAGCATCGAGTAGTCGGGCATGACCGGTATTCATTGACCTTGACCTAGGATGGGAGATATGAGCACCTCCACGAGCATTCAGATCGTGATTGTCCGGCACTTTGGGAGGCAACACACCCAATAGAGCATATACTAGTTGAGTATGGTGTGGATCAGGTTAGCTTTCGAGGATATAACATTGTGGAGACTTTTGAATGACAGAACTGGGGAGGAGTCTTAGATTTTGAAAATACATGCATGTGTGTCGCGTTAGTGTGAGAATGGATGTGGACGCCCTGCATGGATGATTTAGAGGGTGAACCAAAGGGCATGAGAATGATTGGTACAATTAGAGGTCATGATATTGCTATGATCTACCCATGCAGTACCGTTACATAGACACTTGAGGGGAATGCACGAGTGTAAATTAGGATGATATTAGATGTGATATTTACACGGAATAGACTCGAAGGACGGATCAGTTTGTTGATTTGGTGTGGTTGGCAAAGGCACTATAGCATATAGTCTTTCTAAACGTCAACATGTAGGACAACGATGTCGGAGGAGTGAGAACACGGGACAATGTGGTGTTGTATGCTTTGATGAGTAGTTCGATCTTTATTTCTTTTAGATACAATATCTTATGCTTATGCAACATTTGGTGTACATTTGACACCAAGGGCCGGGTGACCACTCTACATGCGTGCCTCATTTCAGCACTCCTGATCCGCGAACTAGGACATAGGATTCGGGAACTTCCATGGGCTTTCTCGTTCAACACTATTCTCATGCCCCCTCCCGTCGCATTAGTGATGAAAAATAAAGGTCATGGAAGTGACGAATCTCATGTCTTAGCTCACAGACAACAAACGTAGAAATGAGGCAAATATAGGGAGTCATCACCTGATCTTTTGAATTTACACCAAATATTACATAGGGCATCCTACGTAAAAGAAATAAGAATAGAGTCGGGCACCACAGCGTCGTGTGTCATTATTGTTTCGACATCGTTGTCCCGCGGGTTGACATTTAGAAAGACAATCTGATGTAGCGCCTTTGCCAACGGCACCAAATCAACAAACCGATGCATGTGTAAACAACACGTCTAATATCATCCCAATCTACACCTGCAGGCCCCCTTAGTATCTATGCAAAAGTACTCCGGGGGCAGGTTCTCTAAATTGTAGGAGTAGAACCCAAAGTCAACATGGAAGTGCTCCCAGATCATTGGGACGGTCATAACAATCTCATGGTCTCTGACTGTGCCGATTAGTCTTATTCCCTTTGACCCGCTCTCTAAATCATCCTTGTGTAGCGTCCGCATCCACTCTCACACTAACTCAACGTATATGCATGTAAAGATCAAAATATAAGGCGCCTCCCCTACAGTATCGCTCAAAACTCAACGTATATTCATGTAAAGATCAAAATATAGGGCGCCTCCGTAACCGTATCGCTCAAAAGCCTCCACAACGTTATAACCCAGAAAGCTAACCCGTTCAACACCATACTCAACCAACATAGTGTGTCAACTCCCAAAGTGTCGGGCAAACACGATTTAAATGCTAGTGGAAGTGCTCATATCTCACATCCTCGGTCGGTACAGACAGTGGTTCCCGACTACTTGATGCTTGTGAGGCAGTCGTCACCATATGAAATAGATGATGGATCATGGATGTAATTGAGAAAGTGCAAGACTTGAAAGAAAGCTCCAAAAATTCGAAACTCGAAGTTTTCTTCACTTCAACATCAGCTCCAAATGTGGAATTTTTTATGTATCTTTCAAAAGATAAGGTGATTTTGGTGTTTGATTGAACAATTTTGCAAAAATAATAGTAATAATAATAACTATGAAAAATGGTGGTTTTTTTAGTTCTACAATTGCAAAAAATTTGGTGGGGTGGATGCCTTTTTGTGAGAGAAAAAGTGAAAAGTGGTCAAATAAATCCTAAAAGGCCCTCTAAAGCCATGTCAGACACGTAGGCATCTCAGACGTGTGGGAATCTCAGACACGTGGGCATCTCAGACACAATCTGGACATTGGAACAATTCAAGGGCATTTTGGGTATTTTATTGGGCATGGCTGGAAAAAATCTCATGTCATCGTCTTAGCCTACATTTGAGACACAAGTGTCTTAGGTTGAGGGCGTTTTTAGCAGTCCATGAGGCATATCAATGACACTGCTTTTAAATGAGACCAAATTGCCATAAGAGTTAGTGAAGCCTTAAAAGCTGATGAAAATCGAAATCCTTGTAGAAGTTCTATATCGAGAGTACTTTTTGAGGAAAGAACTGAATCCATAGGAACCAACCTACTATTTAAACATGAGTATTTTACTTTTGTAAAATATACATAAAAATCCTTATATTTTGGCTCCACTAAAAACACCCCTGTTTTTTTTTAACCATTGGAATCGGCTATTATTTGCAATTGAACATTAGAACCGGCTATTTCTAGGTAATAATAGCAAGTTTCAATAGTTAAATTATAAACAAAAAATATCAAAGGTGGCTTTTTTGTTAAGTTGCCAAAATATAGATACTTTTTTGTCAATACAAAATAATTTTTAACCTCAACTCTTATATATTTGAAGATTAAATTATAATCTATTTTTGCTGACACAACCATAACAATTTGTTTGATTTTTAATATATGATAATAAATAAATATGATTTTTTTTTTAATTATAATTCCATTTAATAAAATATTAAAACCAACTAAAATGTAAAAATATATTGTTATGAAATGTATCATCACTTTTTTTATAATGGAGCTAAATCAAAATTTGATACAAATATATCCACATACCAAGTACTTGGTTGAAAAATCTTCATATGGGTTGGTGTGTATCATAATCACGATTAAAAAATCTGCAGATAAAAATTTCTTGCCAATTGCATAAATAGGTTTTTAGACAAGTATGAAACCATTGTTGACATTGGTAACCATTATGAAAATCCAAGAAATGTATCGTCACTTTTTGATGATGAAACTAAATAAAAATTTGATATGAAATATGCATCCACATACCAAATACTTAGTTGAAAACAATGCATGTGATTCATCCACACATCGATAGAGCAGATGCAAAACAGTCTTGTCTACATGACATATTATTCTTGTGACAACTCAGCAATAAATATTCTTAATTTATATACAATATAGATTACAATATACCACGTTGATACCAATATGCCTACGATTTTAAAAATCCAAACAACAAACGTTATATAGTCTTCTTTTTCTCTTGAATTTTCACAATAGTTACTAATGTCACAGTGGTTTCATACTTGTCTAAAAACCTATTTATGCAACACGCAAGAAATTTTCATTTACAAATCATCTTCCTTTTAATCGTGATTATATAACAACCTATATGAAAAATTTTCAAACAAGTACTTGGTATATGGATGTATTTCGTATTAAATTTTGTTTAGTTCCATCATTAAAAAAGTGACAATGTATTTCATAACAATATATTTTTACATTTTAATTGGTTTTAGGAATTTATTAAATAGAATTATACTTAAAAAAATTGTATTTATTTATTATCATATATCAAAAATCAAACAAATTGTAATTATTGTGTCAGCAAAAATAGATTATAATTTAATCTTAAAATATATAAGAGTTAAGGTTAAAAATTATTATGCATTAACAAAAAAATACCTATATTTTGGCCTATTAACAAAAAAGTCACCCTTAAAATCTTTTGTTTACAATTTAACCATCGAAGCTTACTATTGTTAGCGGTTCCCTGGAAATAGCCGATTCCAATGGTTAAAAAAAATCAAGGGTTGCTTTATTGTCAATAGAACCAAAATATAAGGATTTTATGCAGATTTCCCTTTACCTTTTGTAACATAATTTATTACACTGCTATGGTGTTGTACACTTGATTAGGTTTAATTTTTAGCTTATTATCAACTTATTAAGCTAATGTATTGGCTATATTCAAATCTTTTAAAATTAATTGTGATACAACTTAGATAGGCCAACTAGTCCCTAGTTTACCAACCGACCCAAGCCTAGCAACCTTTGCAACATTGATTACTAATGATGATTTCCTAAACAAATTGGAGGATATAACTTCCATGATCATCCATTAATTTTAAAGGGGAAAGATTGGCCTTACATTATTTAGAACTCTTAGCCTCCCAGCTTTGGGACCACCAGTACAGCCATGGGTATCTAGATGAACCTCATATGGTTCTTCATTCACAAGACACCCAGCTTCCATACAAGCTTTTACCCCTGAAAACATTACAAATATCATTAAAAACTAAAAACCATCAACCAAAAGACATCAATATCAAAAACCTTACATTCTACAGTAACAATCCATACTCCATTCAAAATGGCCATCAGAACTTTATATGTCCTTGTGCATGCACCATTTGAATCTGTGGCAGCAATGACATGGGTAACATTAGGTTTCCAGTATCTGAACACTACTCCCTGATTATTGCTTGCAAAATCAACCAGCAAACACTGCAATTTCAAAGCTGTGGATTAAACGGGACCCACGATGAACACACATTGATTCTAACAAGAACAGCTTTTTATCCCAACCTTTTCTTCTGTAGAAAGATCCGAACCACAAAACACCAAATTTTGTCCATCATCCAACGGTGTTGTGCAGGGATTCAGATGTGTAGATGTTCTGTAATCAGAATGACAAACATAAACAAAACTACACAGAAAAGTTATATAAAAAAACTGATACCTTTTCTCAATGTCTTGCTTCCCATCATCTGCCTCCATTTCGCTTGGAAATTTCATTTTTCTATGCTTTGGACACAACATTAAATAGGTGTCCTATAAAAGGCATAAAATTAGAAACCTTGTAATGAGAATTATAACAGCAATAAGTGTGCATAAATAGTGGCTTACATCCCATCTGCACTCAGGAATGTAATATGCACAAGGCACATGATAACTTCTTTGGCATGTCTCCATATAGCAGCCAAGACCAGCTCCCTTTTTACCACAGCTGCTGCATTTAAGCTTGTTAGCCCTTGACACTTCTGATTCTAAATTCTGAATAATTCCATCCTTATAGTAAATCCGAGGAGCCCTGCGATTGTAAATATCATTTGTAATCTTCACACAACAAAGACTTCTTTCAATCTTGTAAGCTCAATAACAATATAGCATACCACTGAATACAATTTCTGTGAACATGTGTAACCTTAGAGAAGTTAGCCAATGACCCCACTACTTCCTTCCCTTGGGCAAAAGACACAAATGGTCCACTTCCCTATACAATATACAAAATAACCTATCAAGATTCTTATGTCATCTTTTTTTACACAGACGAAAGAATTTGTCTCTAAATTCTAAAACTCACCTCTGTCTGACTAGAAGAATGACAAAAGGCACAAGGACGTTTTTTTGAATTCAATGCATCCTGCTGCTCACTAGAAAGAGATTTTTCAATCTCAGTCTCCAATTTAGAATTGACTGTAGCTAAATTTTCAGAAGCCAAGACATTTGTCTGAGGATGACCATTTATTTGCAAACCCGTATCTTTTGACCCTTCGTTTGTTTTCCTTTGCCTTTTGGCTCCAATGGTTTGACTTTTGGCTCCAGATGTGGATCTAGTGTTTGACTCTAGATTCATCCCATTAGCATCATTCTCAACTGGTCTCTTTGGTGAAGATCTTACAGTATTCTGAAAGGGATCACCAACTAATGTTTGTTACAATATTATGACGACTATACAAAAACATGTTTCAGTATGATTCATAAAAACAATGATTATATTCCAATCAAAATTTATCTTATGCAAAAGTATGTATACATATTAGACATTCAAATCAAGAATATGACCTAGGCAATGTGTTATTTATTCCCATCTTTCAATGTGTAACGGTTTGTTTTATAACTTATCCCTGTTTTTTTATTTTTTAATAGAAATAATACTTACTAAAGCTGCATTCTTACTAGACTATCGTGTGCAGCTTCACGATCTCTGTTTAAAGCCGCTCTTCCTGTTCTTGAAAGTGAAATTTCAGCTTCAGCAGCCAAAATGAGGCTTGCTGCTCCTACAATTGTTGTGAGAAAAATTGTGCTACAATCCTTCGACCAATCATCCGATGATGATGAAGATGATTCCATCTTTCAATTCTTAAACTTATATGATAAACAATTTTTTTAGAAACAGAGAGTTAAATTATGTTTGTGTAACAAATTTGGAGGGGTAATGAGTATTTAGAGTAATTGAAAAAGAAAAAAAGAAAAATACTTTTTCAACTGTCAAAAAAGAAAAATAACAGAAAAGAGAGAGGTGTTCCCGTGATGTTGTGTGGCCTCACTAGGTGGCAGGGTGTTCCCGTGTGGGGCCGCCATTGCAAGGTAGGACCCCACTGTGTGCAGGAGAGGCATAAGATTTTGCCTTACTGGATAAAGAATGAAAGATAGAATTAAAAGATAACTAAGGTGTAAATAAAAGTAGTCGTTACTACATTTTGCTACACACTTATAAGAGGTATGCTTGTAAAGTGTAAAGTGTAAACTAGAATCACTGTGACCTTGTAACTAAATAAGTAAACATGCAAGAAACATTTACTAGAAGCGTGTGGAGTGAAGTATGATTCTACACAGACCACAATGGGCCAAGAAAGAGGAAATACGTTTATAGATGTAGTCAAATGTTAACGTTCGTCTTAATAAACAGCAGAATGAGATTACTGAAGTGAAAGGTATGTATCTTAAAATATTTAGCAATGCAAGTTGCTAGAATTCAAAACTTAAAACAACAATGGTCAATTTTTCATAAGCAATCGCTAACGAATGAACCAAATTTGCATGAGCACACAGCATCTAGGGTACCGAAAAGAGTGCAGATGATTCTTACAAATTCCGTAACACTGCTCGCTGAAACAGAGACTCTCTGATCCTTGAGGTTCGTTCTCGTTAACAGATCTACAGAACAGTAACAGTAACAGATGCAAATTTGCTCAGGCACACCAATCAAAACTTCTATATACAAATTATAGTGAATTGATCATACATATCACGAGGATTAGGAAAGCAGAACATCTAACCTAAAGAGGAGGATCAAAACCGTAATAGAATTGAATTTAGCAAATTACCTTGGGCTTTCTTGTCGACATTGGAGGAGAGTCCTGGTCTGGTGCTCATTTTTGTCGCATATTTGTCTAAAAGGATAAACATAGATTAAAGACTGGATCCTTGGGGCTTGGTCTATGGGCCAGGGAAGCTACCATATCTGCCGTTGTTTGGACCGGACTTCGAAATTTACCAGGCAGGTCGCCGTTCTGTAAAAAAAAAAAAAAAAATTGTTGGTCTTAAATTATTAATGTTGTCTCAAAAAAAAAAATGACATTTTTAAGTTTTATCACTGAATAAAATTGGCCGGGTAACATTTGGTTCCAATTTAGATGTATTTTAATTATAAAAAAAATCTAACAAAAAAAAAAGTTTATTTATAAATTTAAAATTTATCAAACAATTTAAGGAAAATATCTTTATCTAAAAAATACAAATCTGATTTTTTATATAAATTTTAGCAAAAGTTTTTGTATTTTATAAACTCATCAAAAGTAAAGAAAAAAATTAAACTCTAAGAAACCTAGTAATTGTATTGCTCGTCTTTTGTTGATTTGAGTATTTCGTTGATTGCTTACTATAGATTAAGGTTAGTATCTCATCTCCTTTAGTTTTCCAACTATGATTGTCGCTTGATTGCTTAGTGTCTTCTCTCTTTCTTTTCGTGTTTAATGATCCACAAAGTTAATCAATGAATAATGAAACTGAGAAACTAAATGTTATTGATTTATTCTTTTATGAATATGTTTGATAGGGTTCGTCCATGCATTATTGCGCTGTTTGATAGGGTTCCTCCATGTATCGGCTTGATAGGGTTCCTTCATCTATGATCTATCTATATTTTATTGTTTATTGTTTTAGGCTTTTTAGCTTTTTAATATATAGGGCAACAGGTCACAATGGTCAAAAGCACGGCAATAATGCATGAACAAATTTGGGGATGGTTGGGCATGGCTTTTAATATATTATTATAATATATGAAAAACATTGAGTATTTTTTAATTCCACTATTATTAGCATAATTTATTTAAATATTACAGTTTCTGAATTTGTATATAAAGAATAATCCTTTGAATATCATAGACTTATAATTTTAGTATTTAAAACATAGTATTTAAATCATAGTATTTAAATCATATTAATGGATTGGTTATTAACACTGGCAATTGTTTTAAACATTAAATTTTTAATAAATATTACAAACATATATTGTAAAGTTATTAATATAGATTTTTTTTATTTATTTAAGAAAAACATGGTTTCATTAGAAAATTTGAATCGTGCTCTTCTAAACATAAAATAAAACAGAAAGAAGCGCGATTTATTGATAGTCAAAGATGATTTATGGATCCATTTATTATCAAAAAAAGTGTTGGAATATCATGGCAGTAAAGAATCAGTTATGGGAGAACATAAAGAAAAAGAAGAAATTGAATTGCATGTGCCAGAAAATATAGATGATATGAAACTTTAGAAGAACCTATAGAAGAACTTCACAATATTGTGGAAGAACCTAAAGAAGAAGAAATTGAACTGCAAGTGCCATAAAATATACCTTGTGTAGATGAAGACATAGACACCTTGAACGGCAATGATGATGACAAAGAAGATATTCCAGTGAATATTTATGATCCTAGAAACTGGGACATCCTTGATACTAAATGAAGAGATTTACTAGTGAAAAATGGTCCTATAAGAGATATATTAACAAGCAAAGGTCGTAAAGATGGGGAAAAATATACGTTTTTGTGCTAACTTTTACGATAAATACTTACTAAATAGGGAGAAGCATCATAGAGATTGACTTGTGTACTCTAAGGATCTTGATAAAGTATTTTGTTTCTCTTGTAAGTTGTTTATGAAGAAACCACAAACAAGTACTCTAGCACATGATGGGATAAACGATTAGGGGCATCTTTCTCGTACGTTGAAGATGCATGAAAGTAGTGCATAGCATATTTATTAGATGTCTCTTTGGTTTGACTTACGTGTAAGGCTAGAAACTAACAAAGTTATTGATAAAACTTTTCAATACAAAATCAAGAAAAATACCAAATATTGGAGGAAGGTATTAAGAAGGTTGATTGCATTAGTGAATTTTTTATCAAATAAAGTTTGGCATTCAGTGGAAGTAATGAGAAGTTATATGATGAAAATAATGGCAACTTTATGGCTTTAGTTGAAATGATCGCAGAGTAGGATTCAATATTGGTTGAGCATATTCAAAGGATACAAAATAATGAGATCATTATCATTATTTGAGTCACAAGATACAAAACGAGTTAATTTTTTTGCTCACTTCTGAAATTAAAGATACAATCGTGAAAAGAGTTAAGGAACCAAAGTACTATGCAGTAATATTGGATTGTACTCCATATATTAGCAAACAATAACAAATGACACTGATATTCATGTGTGTTGATGTATCTTCCACACCTATAAAGGTTGAAGAATAATTTTTGCAATTTTAAATTGTTTGTGACACCATAGTGCAGGGGCTATTTGACTCATTGCAAAGCTTACTACAAGATCTTGATCTTGACATCGATAATATCATAGGCCAAAGTTATGACACTTGATCAAACATTAAGGGAAAACATAAGGGTGTACAAAGGAAACTTTTTGATATTAATCCTAAAGCATTTTACACCTCGTGTGCTTCAGTTCTCTTAACTTGACATTCTCGTATATGGCAAACTCTTGAAAATGTAGTAAAGTTTTTTGGAGTTGTTCAACTTATTTATACATTGTTTGCTGATTCGACAAAAATGTGGAAAATTTTAAACGACACTTCACCAAAAGGAAGTCTCACTTTAAAATCATTGTCAACTATAAGGTGGGAAAGTAGGATCGAAAGTGTGAAAGCAATAGTTATTCAAGCTCCTAAAATAGTAAAAGCTCTGCATAAACTTGTTAAAGAAGAGACAGACATAAAGTATGAACTTGGAATATTTAACTTTATAACAGGTATGGTTATATGTTATCATATATTGGCAAAAGTAAATAACCTAAACAAACAACTTTAGTCTAAGACTATGTGTATTGATGAGGTAATGAGTAGTGTAGGAGCACTTATTGAGTTTTATAAAGACTATCGAGAGAATGAGTTTGAGAAGGCTTTGGACTCTACGACAGCTATAAATTTTGATTTGGAAATTGATTCAGTGTTTGTTGAAAAAAACAATAAAAGAAAATTTGTTCAAAAAAGACGTTTTCATGAGAATGACGTTGGGTCATCAAAGTCGGTACATGAACTTTCACCTCAAGAGTCATTTAGGATTCAATATTTTGTATAGTAAATCAAGCTATTGGTTTATTGGAGCGAAGTTTTGAACAATACAAACAATATGAAGCCATTTTTGGTTTCATATTCACAACAGAAAAGTTGAAGTCAATGAATACTAGTGAGTTAAAGGCAAGTTGCAGAAATCTAGAAAAGAGGTTGCAAAATGGTCATATCTCATACATTGATATGAGCTGGATTTGTTACAAAAACGTTTACTAGTTGGACACAATACAACTAACAGAATACTAAATTTCTTAAAAATGATGAACACTTATCCAGTTTCTTGTCTAGCATACAAAATATTGTTGATTGTTCCAATTACAGATGTATCAGCGAAAATAAGCTTTTCAAAACTAAAGCTTTAAAATCTTGTTTGCGTTCGACCATGTCTCAAGAGAGATTAAACGCTTTGGCATTGATTTCGATTGAGAACGAGTTTCTTGAGAATATTGATTATAAAAGTCTTATAGATGAATTTGCTTCTAAAAATGCTAAATAGTAATGCGTTGTTTTTTTTCTTTTTTTTTGAAAAAATCTTTGTAATAGATTCATTTGATTACTAATGAGTGAAAACATTATTTTGTGGTAGTGAATTTATGAGATGTTTGTTAGCAACTTTATGTTCTGAATTAGTGGTAGCAAATATAGTTAATAATATTTACAAAAAAAAATTATGGGGCCTCACTTTAGTTTTTTCACAAGGCCTCCGAAATGTCAAGGTCGGGCCTAATAGTTGTATGGGGAGTTTAATCTCATTAAA